TTGTCTGCACTAGTGGTGATGATATCTTTGCATTAACTGAAACTTGGTTTCAGTCAGTTGATGATGTACTACTATAGGGCTGAAGCAACTCTGAATGGTTTCAAGCTTTTGGATCATGCATGTAGTATGTAGCATCCATGTAGCATCTATCCCAAGCCCTGCAAGACCTTAGATGGATAAGCCTTGATTCAAAACTATTTAATAATGAAGCTACTACTTTGCACAAGATTTTTCATGGCAATGCACCTTCATACCTTAGGGATAGATTCATTATAAAAGAACCACAGTATAACACAAGATCAGCAGATATCTTATATTTAGAAAAACCAAAAACTGAATACAAAAAAAAAGACTTTTACCTACCGTGGTGCCATGCTGTGAAATAATCTTAATGTCAAAGTTAGAAATGCACCAAGTCTAGTCAAATCGTGATGCACGTTCTTTTATTGAGCTTCTTCATTCTATGAATTTAAAGCAGCATGTTGATTTTGCAACACATGTTGAGGGTTATACATTGGATTTGATAATCACTCGCGAGTCTGACTCCATTATACAGAACATGCAGATTTGTGGCTACTTGTTTTCGGATCACTACGCTGTGACGTGAGACATAACACACAGAAGCCATCCTTGTTGGTTAAAAATATTAATATTGAGCATTTTAAAAATGATATACTTATGTATGATCTGTGCCAAAACATAAATAGTGGATCATCAGTGGATCTCGACAACTTAGCTTCTTCATATACAACAAGACCTTGCGCAAGGTTTTAGACTGCCATGCACCTATTAAAACCAAGTCTATCACTGCACGACCATACGTGCTCTAGTTTAATGATCAGATAAATGAGGCTATTCATGATAGAAGGAAAACTGAAAGGATTTGGAGACGTTTCGTATGCCAGAACACCTTCAGTTGTTCAAAACTAAAAGAAATTATGTTACGCACTTAAAAAAAAATGTTGTGCTCGACGGGAACAGGGGTAATCAACAAAAGTTTTTCAATAAATCGTCTGATTTTCCTAAATGCGATGATGATCCTCATCTCGGTAATTTAATGGGTGAATTTTTTGTTAAAAATGTTAATGATATAGGCATAAGTAATGATGTAAGTGTAACAACATGCAACACACCTTGTGCTGTATCCGGTGATGTCAATATTCTTACTGGTGATTATATGGACCGTAAACCAATTTTAGGATCTAACAAGAAATCGTGTATCTTAGATCCGATTTCCACTAGGCTTCTTGTTGCTAGTTTAGATTCTCTCTTGCCGGTTATTACGGACATTGCAAATTTATCTTTTAGTAAAGGCCACTTTCCTGTCATATGGAAATCATCTGTTGTATTTCCGCTCCTTAAAATACCTGGAGTTGGTTTAAATGTAGAAAATTACCGACCTGTTAGTAATTACCTACAGTTCTTGTCTAAGGTAGCGGAGTATGGGGTGCCATACGCAGCAAAAGTCCATGTTAAAATCAAAATGTAATTGCAAAATTCAATGTCTGATTTTTAAAAATGTAGGCGTAAATTTCTCAAAATGTAGATTTAGTTTCCCAAAATGAAGTTCTAATTTTTGAAAACGTAGTTTAATTTTCCAAAATGTAGTTCTAATTTCTTTAAAATGTAATTCAAATTCAAAACGGAGGTCTGACTTGATCAATCGCCCTTTCCAAATTCTATTCCAAAACGTAAATCAAAAACCAGCCTGGTTATGAAATGCATTTGACAACAACACTAGAAATGAACTTTTGCTGCGTATGGCAGACTTGCAAAATGTAAATCAAAACTAATCAGCCAAGCATGACGTGGGCCTGTTCCATTAATGATGGGGGAATGATTTTTCTCTTCAGTCTAAATGCCTTGAACAACGCTTCCCAGTGCGTCTGCTAATTTTTAATGGTCAGGGTACCGGAAAAACAAGCCCTATGCTAGGCATTATAGGCTAGGCTTATGTGGGCTGGGATTTGAAACAAGGCATTGGACTAAGCCTCTATACTATAGTAGGAGGCCTGGTCCTAGTCAAGGCCTATAACATAGTAAAATTCTGTATAAGTTGTCATATGATTACAGGTTTACATTGTACCAAGGTCAATATTAACGATCGCATTTATTTTTTATTAAAAATAATAAAAAAAAAACTTTAAAAAAAAAAATAATATAAACTATAATACCGTAGTTTCATTCAATGGGGTACCCGACAGTTTTAAACAGTAAAAGCTGAGTTCTGATGTTTGAAATCATGCTTCTGATTTTGTGATCAATCTGCTTTTCATTGTATATAGGACCTACATTATTAAAACATGTTTAGTTCTCACTAAAATTGGCCTATTCTCTGTATTTATTTACACCTAGAGTACATAGACCTACTGAAGGCCTATACCAGTCCGAAAGTCATGTACCATTCTATGTTCTCAAACAACGGAGTAAACAGTTAATTTTTCAATCTCCAGCAAATTTAAATATCATCCAAAATCCTCCTTTTTTAATGTAAGGAAATAGATAGTGCTTATATTTTTTGGATCGATAGTAACTCCTAATTGTAGCAACCCCAAAACGAATGGCACTTCAGAAATACAGTACAGTATACCAAAACTTCTCTCAAACTTTATATCCTATCGCGTTGTTTGTGTTATAAGTTAACATTATTTATTTATATTTTATTTTATTTATTTTTTTTAAGCGTACAAGTTTGGAATATTTTCAAATACTTAAGTTAAATTATTTAAAGCTTGCTTTTTATTTTCAATGAAAAATAAATGCGATCATTAATATCGATCTTGGTACTTAGTTTGTCGCACTAAAGTCACACTAGGTGACAGCATTTGAATATGCAGCACCTAAGCTGTGGAATGATCTGCCACCTTTTATTAGGAAAGCCGGTAGCCTAGAGATTTTTAAAACACTGTTGGAAACACATTTTTTTACTAGGGGGCCTATTGCTTTTAACAAATAATTTATTACTGTACTTCCTGTACTGGTAAATTTATGGTTTTACTGTAATATTGAATTAATTTTTATCCAATTTAATTGACTTTTTAATTTTGTGTAATACATTTTTTGATCATATTTTTATTGGAATTTTAATGGTTTTACTCTAATATTGAATTGTCAATTTTAATATATTTTAATTGACATTTTTATTCTGTAATGCGTCAGTTGAAAAAATTTGTATGGAGATATAAGTAAATAAATTATTATTATTAAAAATTCTTATTCTTAAAAAAAATCTCGTTTGGTAGGGGGAAGCACCTTCTCAAACCCTTCCCCCAGCTCAGGCCTACGAACTCAAATCACCCTGTCGGACAGCTCAGCGCCCTGAAGTTGGCACTGCGACCAGGGACCTCCCCTGGGTATAACTTGCATGCACAGGCGGCGTACAAACAGATCCTGTAGTTGGGCCGGCATTGAAGGCGGTGCCTCACGATATGCGATTATACAAGTACTGTTCCTCATGGGAACATTGTGGAATTGGCTGCAGTTTAACATTTCGGTAATTTTTGTTTTAATGTTTGGAATAAAATGTACTTGGCACATTTTTTTAGGGTGGCGTTAACATTTTAAACGCTGTGCAATCTTTGCTTCTTTTTCCTAAGCGTGGTGGTCATTTCGTTTTTTTGGCCCAAACGTGTGGTCCGTCCCACCACGCTTAAGTATAGATGGCAAGACCTCTGTTGTACAGATCAGCGTTCCGCAAACATTTTACTTCATGGCCTATTTACGATTTCAGGCACCAAGCCGCAGCCCAGCCGTGCCAGGGACCAATACAAAATACTGGCAAGAACTTTTGATCATGAAGACTTCATGTATATAAAATATTTTTCATTATCTGTTGTCTTAGTGATAAAATTTTATTTTATACAAATTAAATATTATTTTATTAAATAAATAATACCGTACATTTGTATTTCCCCCGACAGTTGTTGATTGTTTTTTTTCCTACCATCAACCAAACACGGTTCAGCCACACACGTCATAGCTTTCTCCTTCTTCCAAAAACTTTTACGCACACTCTGTTACTCCGCAACTTTGAAAGACTACCTTACTATACCTTGCTTGGTGTTATACAGTTGTACCAAGAGATAATTTATTTGCAATTTGTGCATTTCCAGATCTATGGTATGCATCCTGATTAAACCTGAAATGTAGAAAAATCATTTCCACCACCAATGAAGCATGATTGCGGATTATAAAATCCTGGCCTACCATCTCCTACCCAGAGATGTATTTTTTAGCTGTGAATTATATCTTTTTCCATTAAAAAAAAACCAAATAGGCCTTTCAAAATGGAAACAAATTCATTGACGCTGAGTTGAATAAAAAAGGGAACAGCGTCGTATTTCGAGAGGGCCTTTATTCAAAACCACTTGGATATTTTGGTCTGAAATTTTTTTCTATGTTCTTTATATGGGACAATTTATGGAATTGTGTCATTCCTCAGTTATTTACCAATTGTTGGTATATTGAATGGTTTTTTGGGACCGAGATTTCTATGTATTTAGCGGCTTTCGTCTCTAATTAAAATTATAAATTGTTTTGTTAATTTGGTACTACAGAAAAATGGTCTTTATTTGCTTATTAATTTTAGGGGGAGACCTGCACAACGAAAAATCAGACATTTATGACTAAAATTATTCATTGGCTAATGACACCACCCATGACATTGTTCCTAAAATGGATGATTTCAGACTCTTTCACCCATTGAATTTTAATCACCCAGCCATTGGGAGGAGGCACCTTTTCCCAATTCCTCCCCTCTATAGGTTGTCATAGATGGAGGGGTGACAAGACAGAAGAGAGTTCAGAAAATATAACAGAAAGCAGTATTTCTAAATATGACTTTTAATCACTCTACCAATTTCTCTCTTTGATGTTCCCTATGTCTTTTCAAACTTCTTTCTTGTCACCTACAAAGGACTCTTTTTTTCTGGACTCCCCTTCCCTGAAAATGTCCTTATCCGCCTCAGCATTAATGTCTACATTATTTTGTAATTTTGCAGAAAAGAAAAGAAAAATTCCACCGTCAGACGAATTTACAACGAAAAAGCTCAAGACAGGTGAACAAACAGCAATAGAAGGTATGGTAAATTAATATTTGATTTGCATTTATTTTTAATGTAGTAAATCAGAAATGAAGTCCTTAAGCAGTAAAAAAAAAATATATACATCAATGTAAAAACTATTTTAAAATACAATGGAATAGCATAAATACTGACATCTTAAATGACTACTGTAATTATTTTTTAGCATTATTGGATAAGGAGACCATGATTGTCAAAAAGGGTTGTAGGCCTATCTAGTTTATATCTCTGACATCCATCCTTCTGGCATTAGTGCTAGGCGCACTATGTCAACATTGTGACATCAGACGCACTGAAAGAAATTTAAGCTAGTGGCGCTTGGATTCATCACAACACCTTTGTGAACAAGTGATTATATGGCATTCTTCATGTCTGCAAAGGTCCCAGGTTTTAGTCTTCAGGTCTCAGATTTTTTTTTATATCAATATCTTTTTATTTTTGTTTTTGCTTTTATTTACTCATCATGTTTTATGTATTTATTCATTTGTCTTTTCTACATGTTATAGTATCTATTTAATTAAGGTTTGCTTGTGGTGTGTTTTCCTTTTTTACCAATTTGTAACATATTTGTAAGGCGAGACTTTTTTTTATACCTTGTTTCGCATACTTATTTTATTAAAGATCATTTTAAAGGGCGGACTAAAAATATAATTTTGTTTTCTTATTTAGCAAATAGTTTTGCCAAAAACACCCAGATAGAGGGGAAAATAAAAATAAATTTTATTGGTCAATGTAAAATGGGATGGTTAAATGCTTCAAAGTTATATAATTAGGAGGAAATATACATATTTTATCTTTGGAGATTTTAAGGCAAATGAGAGCGTAATAAAAAGAAAGAAAAACTATTATTTTTTTCTGAAATTTCCATTTTTTTTTGTGACGGCAGGTGCGCTAATTGGCCAAAAATAAAATTTTCATTTTCATTCGAAATCATCAATATTTTGCATTCGGCAAGGTATAAAAAAAAGTCTTGCCTTATGAAGATGTAAAATAAGTTTATGATTGAATTGAATTGATTTATTTAATTGTCAAATTTCTCTTTGAAAGAATTATAAACATCATTATCAGAAAATGAGAGAATTGCAATGTTAGCATATTATTTAACATACCATACGGTATTAGATAACTGGCCTATAGAATAGAAAATACCCGGATTTATGGTTGTGGTTGTTCACCTTTACTAAGGTCGTAATACAACAGACTATATAATGAAATAACTGTAGTACATAACAGCTTAACGCATGGGAAGGACTCGATGCACTCGATTGTCAAGTTGTGTTTATTGATAATAATTTACTCTCAGCAATCGTTAAGAAATTTAGCATTGACATATATTCATAAAAAAATCTACATTTTAAAATTCAAAGCGATTTAAATGTTGAATGTACAGTATAATTATTGCCTACATTTTAATATGCAGTGTAAACAATATAAATATTGGATGTCTAATTATTTTATAGAATTGTCAGCTAAGGAGTTCAAAGTGCTTAAAGCTGTTTTCTCACAAGGGTATGATAGTGACGATAGTCTTAATATGTTAAAGGTGTTGTTCAGAGACAAGATGGACATTAACGAGCTGTCACTAGCAACTAATGTAATGGACTTGCTGAATAATTTGATTAAACGTAATCATCTGAGTTTACAGAATATTGGACTTTTGTGTGACGTTATTAGCGTAACTAAACATTGGTATCTTCCAACAAAGATTAAAGAAAAAGTGCCAAAATTCCCGGATGTTATGAAAGGAACCATTTCAACAGAATTCACATCTCACAGACAAAAACTAATGAACTTTGGAATGTCACTGTCCAAAGCCGATGTGACGAAGATTGATGGATTGTATAATGAGCCCTATAAGAAGGATTATACAGATAGCTGGAGTATGATCAGCGATCTAGAAAAGAGATTGATAATCAGTGAAGAAAATATGGAGGAATTCGCTGATATGATGAAAAACCTTGGTCTTACTCTAGTTTAAAACAAACTAACATAAGGTATTTTACATTGTTTTAAATAAACATGTCATGGGTTTTATGTTATATTCTTTTATATTATGTTATGAATAAAGAATACTTTGAGAGAACAGATGATTATCATGCCTTTCAGACGGTCAACTGTCAAAATGCTTTTATTTTTTTTTTTAACACTGTAAATAAATGTGGAGGATTTAAACAATGTTCCATAAAATTGTCCTGCTTTGTTTCTGAAAGGTGATTTGATAGAGGAGTCAAAAAAGCGATTTGGGAAAAGTAGAGAACTCCAGCTTAAACCGAAAAGGAAGACTCTGTTTTCAACCATCAAAGAGTTTTGACCAGGTGCTGCGCACTAGCATTCCTCGCCATCTGACTTGTGATGAATCCAAAGAGTCAGTAGTCTGAAGAAATTCAGCAGAGCTAGACTAAATGCCACTCAACGTTAATAGTGAGTTCCAGTTTTTGATTTAAATACTATCTTGCTGGATGAATGTAAACATTCACAAATTGGTTTTGTTCCCACAGTTCCTGCATTTAAAAAAAAAATCATTATTGGGGTTAGAGACACTCTACAGTCATATCGATTTGTTTGGTCCGTAACTGCAAACACGCTGCTGTAAAAATATTCTGAATTAATAACATTTTTTCAGTCATTTTTCAATTTTGTCAAAGGCTTTCAAGAAGAAAAACCGACTGGACTCACAGCCGGCGTTCCATTTTCACGTTCCATTTTCTGAACTCAAGAAAATATGGTACCTGCTGTATCAAAGACTTGTTATATTCTTTTCTTTTTTTTTAACAGTGCTTAGATTGAGAATGCAAGGTGCAATTTACCATATTTGGCCTAGCGTCCATAAATGTTTAATATCAAATAAGAAGGTAGGCCAAACTTATTCTGCATTACCGGTAATTATTGACAATAAGGTAAAAGATAAAGGCAACCCTGTATTCAGGGGTGGATTTGGGGTGGGGCAGCCCCCCCCCCATCCTTGTGGGATGTAAAAAAAAAGAGAAAAAAAATTAAAAAAGAAAAAAATATAGCCCAGAAGACCTCAAATGTTATTTTCGGGCCTCTAGAACACAAAGATTTCGCGAGGGCATTCCCCCGACATCCTAGGACAGTGTTGTCTCGATCGGCCCAACTTTTGGGCACCCCACCCCCCACCCTTTTTGACATCTATGGATCCGCCCCTGGTATTCATTACATTGCATGATAGGGTGGCCAGTTGCTTTTTAGGCCACCTTTTTCCTCCCCAGTAGTGAACCACCGTTATACTCCTGGGTGGAGATGAACAAAGGTAAAGTGCCTTGTCCAAGAATTCAAGCAAAATGCTTTGAACCTCACAGGTCAGAGACATCTGAAACTCCAACTGCTCTCACGAAACTTGTATAACTAGTTGATTGAGATGTTGTAACGCATACTTTATCATTTGATTTTCAGTTAATGTTGATACAAGCGGGGAAGGCTTCGCCCCCGCCCCGTCGGGGAGTGCTGGTAAGTCGTCGGCGAGAAAAAAAAATTATATGTATTTTCTACATTTTAGTAGACTCTAAAATCGATTAAATAAGCCTTTGAAACCCTTAAATTGTTAATATTTTTGGGGGCTTCACCCCCTGAACCATTTTCAAAACCTTTTGTTCGAAGCTCGAACACGCCCACATTGCTTTCGTCGGGGAAATTTGACCCCTCGTCAGGACCTGTATCTAGTTCCTATAATGTAGAGTTTTTAAAATTGTATTTCTGAATAAACCAAAATAACAACCCGGTCAGTTGAAAAAAATCCAGGTAAATACAGATGTCATTTTGGTTGGTTCATTCAAACCAACATAACATCATTTATCGACAAAAACTGATCAAACCCCATAGCCGGTTGGGGGAGGGGGGTCCGTCGAACAGGTCTGGATCACGCTACAAAGGGGTCGTCAAATATTATTTGATTACCAATCCCTAATATTGTGGTCTAAAAGCACAATATGGACATACTAAGCAATAAAAATTCACCCTATGAACCCTACCACAGATTTTTTTTATTCTGGGCCGTTGACCGAAGTTCTAGTCATTCCCTTGCTTCGGATCCATCTGTTGAACATGTCACCACTGCTGGATGTCATCATAACTATATTTTAAAATGTTAACACGGTTTAAGTCCATCAAAACTTTCAAGATGCAGATTTTCAAATTTTTATTTTCCTGCTTAAGATACACAAATTATTTATCAATCAGGCTGACAATAAAATTCAATTAAAAAGAGCCACTTAGGGTTAATGATAGGCCTAGCAAACAAAATTTAATAAACATTTAATTGTTTGTATATTGACATTGAAAAACAATCTTTAAATGGCATCTTTAATTATTTTCATTTATCCACATTCATGAACAAATAATAAATATTACATTCACTTTTTACTGGCAGAATCTACAACTGAGCTACAAGAACCAGTGCTGGGTTAAAAATGGATTCCTCAAGTTTAACAACATGGCAATGGCCTACAAAAGATTTTAAAAAAAATGATTATTAGAACAAACTTCGAATAAGTTTCAATTGTACACGTCGGATATGGCAAGCCTAGACGTCACAGATTTATGAAGAATGAAGCAGGAGGCTGTAATCTTAAAATCCTTAAGTAATTTTTTTTGGTTGACTTTTTAGTTTAAGTTATCAATTATACATGTCAGATATGGCAAGCCTAGATGTTGCATATTTGTGTAAAAAGATGGCCTTGGATAGATGTACAGTATTAAGAATAATTCTTTTTTTTTTCAATTGTTTGTACGCGTTGGATATGGCAAGCCTAGACGTTAGAGATTTATGTAAAAAGACGTCCTTGGATGAATGTACTAATTTTTTACTTTGATTTACGTTTCAATCCTCCTTTTGCACTTGGTTACTTTGGGGAAGTAGTGAAGACATTTCTATGCGGTATTAAATCAAAACATTGGATACCGAATAGTTAGGCTGTACTGCAAGTTTCTGTAAAGTAGTTATTTTTTATAAAAACTAATTCAAAAAATCATTGTGTATAGCTGACTTTCATGCAATATTTTATTGCTGTACATTTTTAGAAAAGTTGAATAATGAAATACCTTTGACAGGCATGACTTTGTTCACTGTAAATGTTTTAATTGGCATTATATTTTAATTCCAATATTTTATTGCTGTACATTTTTAGAAAAGTTGAATAATGAAATACCTTTGACAGGCATGACTTTGTTCACTGTAAATGTTTTAATTGGCATCATATTTTAATTCCAATATTTTATTGGTGATCTGATAGAATCTTTTAAATTAGTTTTGTTTGTATTCTCTGTAAAGATGTTTAGTACGGTACAGGAGAGCCACTTAATACTGTAGTAACAATCCTCCGGAAATGAACATCTTGTTTCCATGTTTTCTCCTGTATTGCTTTTACCTGGATATTGAATACATTAAAAAAATTAGGAGGGAGCCCTAAATTTGTCAAAATTAAAAGTAAATAGAGGATAACAGAATATTACATTCAAATTTTGAGTCTGAAGTATCATTTTCGGCCATCTACAAGTGAAATAAACATAAAAAGTTCCTACCTCAGCTCCAACCAGGATGGGGATGAGGTAACATAAATCCCCTATCTGTAAAATTTACTGTCTATACCCCTCCTCTCCTGTCTATGTCAAATTACAAGATCCGAGATGTAATTTGGCGAATGATCTATCCATAATCTTATTGGCAGAATATCAACCATGAGTTGGAGTCACCCTAAATTTTACACATTAAAAATTAAATGGGGGATGGGGTTAAACGAAAATTGCCTTCAAATTTTGAGTCTGAAAGGCCATTTCCGGCCATCTAGAAGTGGCATAATACTAAAATGTTTGTACCTCAGCCCCAACAGTGGTGGGACTGATGTGGTCTCTATTTCGAAATCCTGGATTCGCCACGGCTTAATGTTGTACTTTTGTGACGAATCATCTTCATGGGATATGGACAATGAGTAGGCCTAATATTTGGACATGGGTGGTCCGTGAAGATTTTGGCGTGCACAGAACCCAGAGGGGTTCGCGAATGCAGAAAGGTTGGGAACCACTGTATTATGACGGTTATGACAAGCATAAAATGGTAAATGTATTAATCGTTTTGTTGATCGTCGCTGCACACAATCAAATCGCCTTAATTTAGAGTGGGTTAAGTTTTAGAAATTATGTATTTTCTAGTGTTAACATTCAGAAATATTTTATGTGGTGCTAGACGTTTCTTTTGGCTATGAGTATGACTCAATGAACGAGCCGTAAGAATAATTTTTAGGCCCATGCCCGGGATTTATCAATCTCAGCTTAGCAAATGTCTAAGTCAAAGATGTCTCAGTAAAAACAGTCGCCTAGCTGCCATCTTTAATTAACTTGAGAGTTCAAAACAACAACAAAGCAAGTACATACAGATCAGACGCAAAAGGTGGATTGTATGTGTTGGATATGCGTAGTCTAGACGTTACAGATTTATGTAAAGCAAATGACCTTGGATGGATGTACTTAAGTACTTTTTTTTTGGTTTACTTTATAGTAAAAGTTTCTATTGTATACGTCGGAAATGGCAAGCCTAGACGTTACAATTAATTAATTATTCTTCATGTGCTTGGATGTGTGTACTTCAGAATTTGTTGGTTTCAATATTGTACACGTCTGATATGGCAAAGATTGATGTAAAAAGAGGGTGTACTTAAGAATAATTGTTTTTGATTTGTTTACTTTATGGTGAAAGTTTCTATTGTAGACATTACAGATGTAAAAAGATTAAAATATCATTGTAAAATTAAGCAGGAGTCAGTAATCTTAATGTCCTTGGATGGATATGCTTAAGAATATTTTTTTTTTGTTTACTTTATTGTTTATAAATTTTCAATTGTACACGTCGGATAGGGCAAGCCTAGACGTTACAGATTTAGTAAAAAAAAAATGAAAATGTCATTGCAAACTTTATACAACATTTACCCACCCCTGAACACAGCACATAAATACTGTATATGCAGATGGCACACCTTGAAAATAGACGATATGCCAATTGCACAATTCTTGTATATCTCAAAAGTATACATCATGCACCCAAAATTTGTAATATTGAATAAGAAAGCCTGGTTTCCTGTCGACGTAATAAAGCAGATTGGCTTACGACTAAGTCGTTTGTCGTAACAAAATAGGATTTGACAGAAAACCGATTGCGACTGATGCATTGTGAAATCGACGAGTGTAACGCAAAGCAATATCGTCGTAACGCAATGCTTGACAGGAAACCCACGAGTTGAATATCTGTCTGATTCGTCGATTTATCACAAATCGACAGGAAACCGCGTTTGTCGAATATACTTTTCGTTACGTTACGTTAAGCTGACTCCGAGTCAACATTTCATAAGAAACTTAAGCCAAAATTTAAAATGGAATATGTATTTCGGTATTTATTGATCATGCACTTATAAAATTGTTGCAAGTTTCGATAAATATGGCCTCACAACTGACTTAAAATCGATATTTCATTAAATTTGAGTCATTCTAATTATAATTTAGGCTAATAAATGGTTGGAAAAAAGGACACTTATCTACTGTAAAAATACATAGGGCTAGGTCCATACTATGTTATCATTTGTACTGTAGTTTTTGTTTTTTTGGGGTTTTTTTTTTGGCTTGTCGAGGCCTGGTAATAAGGGCGCCTCGCCCCAAATTTCTTTCAAATTTGAATGGACAGTGAAATTTTATTTTTAGAGTAGTGGGCCTAGGCCTTATAATTCTTATTGAACTTCTGTTTACTTATTGCAAAGTTGAACATAATTTTAACCTGTTATACATGAGCTATGATTTTCAGTTGCTTCAAATCCAAAACAATGGGTAAAAACCCAGCAAACGTCCGTTTACGAATAGTCGATATTACAAATGACATTTGCCCTTCGACCAAGTAATAACGTCAAAAATTCCGATTGTGTACGTTTTCCAAAGTGATAATATGTATATTATTCTTAATAATAAAATCAGATTTGTTGTATTTATTTATTTATTGACAATTCAATCGTTTCCATTTCCGCTATAATAGTCACTATTAATTCAGTTTCAACGAACTACCACCAACACTAGTCGTTATAATGAGCGCACATGTTTACGATTACGAAATAAAAAAGTGTGTTGAAGTCAGCAACTTATTTGACACCGCGAAGCTAGATTTTCGCTGAGTGCACGTAAACAACACAATTCTAAAAACTACAAAAAAAAAAAAAAAAAAAAAAATCATTGTGTTTTTATCTCTTGATAAATTCCTTTCCTTGTTTTCTGAACTTGAGTGAACAGTTAGGTCAAGAAGACACCCTGCTTGGCCTGTCATCCCTTCCCTGCCGTTGATATTTCCTATTCCCTCTCCTAGCTGTCACGCATTTTACGTTCACGCTATTCAACATTGGTAGTACTGTCAGGAAAAATTTGGTCCTGGGGGAAAAAATCGGTCCGTCGGACTGATTTTGGCCTCATGATTACTTGCCAAATGTAGTCCACATAAGCCAAAATCAGTCCGCTGAAATTTACTTTGCTGTGCTCAGCACACTTGGGCATCTTACGTCCGCAATAAATTTTGGCGGAAGAACGATACCTAAGCTTTTGCAGACGTGCATATGTTTATCTAGCCAATCACAATGATGTCCATAGCTGAAGCCTACATTTGCATACATCACACGGTAATTGTGATTAGTTGATATGTAGCGAAGATAGAGGAATAACAATAAGGAAATGCTAAGCTATGTACACAGATATATACTAATTGTTATATTTTTAATAGTGTTACAGTACTTTTTCTCG